CCCGGCACCCGCCGCACCCCTGCTGCGCCCGTGGGGAAGGGGGTAGCTTGTGCCCGGCTGCTAGAGGGCCGCCGCGGCCTCGTCGCTCTGGAGACTAAGCCTTCCAGTTGAAGCGATGTTGGCGGCACCCTCGAAACATAGGCCGAGATCACCCTCACAGAGCGGATATTGGAGGGCTCCAGTGTTTGAGTCAGTATTACCCTTCACTTCCACCACCACCCCCTGTATGGACATATGACTGTCCTTAAGGCTTAAGCTGCTTCGGGACGAAAAATGCAGTGTGATTAGTTTGTGTAGTGGCTGGGGGGGGGGGTGGGGTTTCCTGTAAAAAACTGAAAGGTGTCAACATCAGAACATGAAAATACACTGCTAGATAATATGTAGAGTTTTCTTAAAACAAAAAATAACTCTAATTTATCTTAATTCTGCTGAATATTCAGGTGTTACCAAAGGTAGATTTGAGACCAGAGATCCTTGAGATAGCAAGCTTTATCCAGTGCCAAGATCTCCACTTTTGGTGTGAAGCGATTTGTGCCTCTAGATTTTGTTTCTTGTACGCCTGAGTTGATTCAGTTTTGTTCATTTGCTGCCTTGGTTTTTTTTGCACATTTTGTGCTATGGTTAGATTCTTGCAGAGTAAACCTCATCTTGTCCTTTGCAAAATACTCATCCTGATCGCTGGAGTGAGATCCTATCTCATCTACCTTGGTGCTTCAGCTAGCTAACTCAGATCATGAAAATGGCATGCTTGCTTCTGCTGATCTAGTTTTACGTCAACAGAGAAGTAACTAGGACTTGCAGGAGTCACTGCAGATTTCATGTTGCTAGAGGAAAGAGCTAAATAGACGATGCAGGCAAAGTAATGAAAGGCACTTCATAACGTCATCTAAGTGGCAGATGCAAGAGTAAAGCTCTGAATTGCTCCATCGCTCCAGCATTCTACAGATTGGATTAAATTTCTGCTTTTGGTTGAAAGTCGTCATGCTTTCATCATTTGCAATAGGTGCAAAGCAGGGGAGCTGTAGAACCAAGATGGTGCAGGAAAAATCCTAATGTGTATACTTGTGCAATTAACATAACGATTTACCTTGTGAAGTTTGACACAGCTGTGTTACTTAGTAATGCTGAACAAGGGCAGTTCAGTAAGTCAGGTTTATTGTTACTGTTGTGTTACTTGGTCAAGTTTCAGGATACATCTCCATTGGTGAGGTGAATTATGGGGAATTATTTTAAGTGTACAGCAGGTCCTAGCTGGACTTGTCTGTATTCTGATTTGTCATGTCAGGTAACTCTGCTTTTTAGGAAGCATGACCTGGTGTTAATGCTAGTTTAGTTAGGATGCTTCTTGTTTACATTTGTCTTTAGCAGGCTGAGGTTTAACTGTGGCAGCTTTCCAGTGCTGAAGTACATCTACGCTCCTGTAATAGATGACAATGTGATAAGAGTAACTTTGAAGGGGGTTAAGTGGTTTATTGATTATACTGATAAAGAATTTAATGGTTATTGGTTATCATCAAGTGTTCTATAGAGTGCAGGCATTTATAGTAAATGTAATTGTGGCAAGGAACTAGTTTTATGCATTTTTAATATTGAAGAGATTATTCCTTTGGCTCGCTTGCTTTTTATCTTCAGTTGGTCGTCTTTGTCATCTAGATTATGAAATAAATTTCTGAGATGGGATTAGGCAGTAAAGTAAACACCAGTAATAGCTTGGTATCAGTCTGTGGCGTGAATTACTGTGCAAGTGTGTGGCACTGTGCAGCTGGTGCCATGAGCGACTGCTCAGAAGAGCAGTGTTGTGTTAATACCAGCAAAGTTGTAACAGCTGTTCCAGGGTTTCCCGTGGTGCACGTGTGGTATGCTGTCATGAGCAAGAGAATCTGCTTGGAGGAAGCTGACTTGAAACTTTTTGAAGCATATCTTTATTATTGTAGGTGATCTTGAGAAGCAAGGTGAAGATTGGTGTTTGGGGAACTGCTGAGCTTTAATCTGAAATCTGCCACTGTTCTGATGTGTACCAGAGAGAGCACCCAGAGAAGTTAGGAGGGGAGTGATTAACTTGTTGCACAAATACAATTCTATGGATAATAAGATCCACACACTTTGAAGTCGAAAGAGAGATAAACAGGCTGCTTCTTTGAAGAAGATGCAAGTCAGCAATTTTGTCTTTGCTTTTATTTTTCTTTCATAAGAAAAGACACTACTTGAGCTGGCTAATTTTTGAACGCTACAACAGGAGGATGCTTGAGTGTTTTTTATTTGTTGTTTTGAGGTGTAGCTTTGGCTTTCTGTAGAGAAAAAAGCTAACTATTGTCGAGAGGCTGAAGTTCTTAATTGTAAAAATTACTAGGTGTGAGGGTGAAGTATATGTTGTATACATTTGGTGTTTGTTTTTTATAGTTCAGAGAGGCTTTTCTGATCTTGTTTCACTTCTTTTCCTTATTCCTTCAGGATTGGATGACACTGCGAAGTCACTGAGGTTTCATCTGGCTTCCAGAGTTTGAAGTGTTGAGCTCCAGTTTTTCTTTCTGAGAATGTGTTCAGATGGGCTGTCTCATAGTTAAGACAGCTCATAACACTAACAACTAATAGTGCTTAATTTAAGTTCTTCCCTCGCCCCCCATTCTGTGGCTTGACTTGCATGAAATTGTAGGATGACTTCACAGCCACTCTTTTTGCAAACAAGCAGGGAAGGTACTTTGGGCTGATGTAACTGGTAATACCTAATTTAGTGGTATGGATAGTGTATTGGATTTTAATCAGATTGTTATTGCTAGTCCATGTTATAAGTATTTTTTCTCTGCAGCCCCAACTGCAAGAGCTCTCTTCCCAGCTGCCTATGAGTTTGTAATTGGTAGAGGTATTTGCATTTAGAAAAACCAAAACAAAAAAAACCCAAACCAAAACCCAGGTAAAGTAACTTTTTTTAAGGGATGTGGGGAGTCTTCCTTTTTCAGAGTCCAGGGTAATTCAGGGTGGGGAGCAGCACACTATGGCCTTGTGTATGTGAGACTTTCTAGTTTCAGGATCCAACTTGATAGGCTTCATTTTAGCATAAAGTCTTGTGAGAGAGCCTATGTGAAATGGTTTCTCCATGTTTTTCATAAAGCTCTCTCCAGCAGTGCTCAAATAACAAAGGCCTGATGTGGGCCCTCATACTTCAGAATAGGTGATGGAGAGATTTTTATTACAGACATGCTATAGGAAAACACCTTTCCTTCCCTCTTTTTCCTCCTCTGCTGTACAGCTTTTTTGCATGCTGAAGTTCTTGCCGACCTGGCTGGGAGGGGAGGGACAGGACAGCAGCCTCCACTGAATAATGCAGAAAGGTTCAAGTAGAAGCCCAAGTTGCCAAAACCTAAATTCTGAGCTGTGGACCTAACTGCTCTGAACTGTTGGATCTGCAAAGTTGTATGTATGCAAAGTTGTAAAATGGCATAGAGCAACTAGGTAGCTCTGAGCAGCAGCAATGAAAAAAAAGCCTCGTTGAGTATAGAAGAGTCTGTGTGTGTTGTAGGCTCTTGCAGTCTAGCACTTTGAGTGTGGTGTTACTCATCAGGAGCTGGATAAGCTGTGCTGGCTGTGACAAAACCTGCCATCTTGTGGCTGTAGTGCTAAAATGTCCAAATCTTAGTTTTATTTCTACAGGTGTTTCTTTTGCAAGACTATGTGCACACGTCTCTTGAGCATGATGGCAATTGCATATGTTTGCATGAAGTCTTGGAAAAGCATCTTTTAAATTTGAGTCTCTCCTTTTTAAATTGTGTGTTGATTTTACATTAGTCTCACTTTGAGAATGAACCCTCAGAAACTGTTTGACTGCTTGTGCTCACATGAAGACTATTTTGAGTGGCTGTTTGAGAAGCATGTGTGTTTACTTTCATAGAGAATAGAACACCTGTAGCTTTGCACCAGTGCAGTTTCAGTGGTGGCTCAGACTACGGTATAGACAGGATTTCCTCAGATCTGTGGAACTTTGCCATTATGTATGATTAGCAGGGTGCTGCAGAGCAGTTCACTGTGCTGCAGCTTCTGCTTATGGAGCACTGGCTCATAGATAGTTGTCAGTTGTCATTGAGACGTTGGTCTGTTAATTAGAAATGGGTTATTTACAGCCTAGACAGTGGATCTGCACAAGTTCCTGTGTGGGTAAAAGGCAATGAAGATAATTTACTTGTTTCCACTCCATGGAAAGGGCCTTCTCATGGGATATCTTATTTCTTCTTTTAGGATTCTGGTGAAGGTAGGACACTTTTACACTGGCTTAGCTAAAGAGTAAACAAGAGGTGCCTTTAATGAATATGCGTTTTCCCCTTTCCATGTGTGCCTCTCAGATTTGTTTGATACTCTGAGTGTGTAGGTTTCTACAGCCCAAGCAAAACATGAAGCATTGTTGTATCAGATGTAAAAGAAGAACTAAGGAGTTGATCTAAATTAGAGTAAATTAAACCAAGACAAAATGTTTTTATTGCATGTCTTTAAGTTTTAAGATTCAGATGGCACCTTGTTTTATTAGCCAGCAATCTACTTTGGGGGCAGTTCTAGACTTTATTACCACTTTCTCTGATTTATTCCAGCTACACAAAAAAGGAATCTGATCTTAATGGAGTCCAAGTCAAACTTCGAGAGACTGAAGGAGCCCTCAATTCTAAAGAAGCTGCACTGGCTGCTGCTCTTGGTGATAACAGAAGTCTGGAGGGAGAAATTGGGGATTTAAAAGAACGAATTGAACAGGTGAGAAGGAGAAATATTTAACCATCAAGCTTCTGTCAGCAAATGAGGTGTTTTTATATATAATACTTCCATAATAGGAGCTGTCATTCTGGTAAAATGCAATTTTGTAGACAAAAAATGGATCCAAACCTGTCCTCTAGTCACAGCTATAACAGACTGTGGATCACTGTCAGCATTGGAAGCAGTATTGATTAGGTGTCTGTGTCTAGTACTGTTCAGCTTATTAATAATGAGTGGTGGAATAGAGTGCTTTTAAAATTGTAGACTCTGAAATTGCAAAGGATGGTACTTACATTGAAGAGAGCAGGTCAAGAGTCCAAGTAAACTTGGCAAACTGTAGAACTGTTTCGGGAGAAATACCGATGTCACAAATACTGATCATGAATAACTGGCAAGTAACAGTTTGTGATTCCCTCTGCCCTTTTGGTTCCCTTTCCCTCCTTTTGGTTCTGCTTGCAGTCCTCCATCTTCTGGGCATCTGATAGAACAAAGAGGAAGAAAGTCTTGTGCTACTTTTGTTAACCCTTTGAAACACATGATTTGTGATCTTAACACCACTTCGAGAGGGTGGGCTGAGGAGCTGTCTAGATACGGTGCTCAGGGACACGTTTTAGAAGTGGGCATGATAGATTTAGGTAATGGTTGGACTTGATGATCTCAAAGGTCTTTTCCAACTACGATGAGTCTGTGATTGTATGAGGAGACCAGAAAACTGTTACTTGCTGTGTAGAA